TGTGGTGTGTGTGTGCGTGTGTGTGTGTGTGTGTGTCTGTGGGGGGTATGGGGTGTGTGCGTGTGTGTGTGTGTGTGTGTGTGTGTGTGCAGACCCCCCAGGTGAGTCTGATGATCAGCCAGGTTTGAGATCTATCCTGGCTCCCTGGTTTTACAAGGACAAGGTAGGACAGTGATTTCCCCAGGGTCACCTCATCCACTAGTGACAAAGCCAGGACTAGAGGGCAGGCCTCCCGGCTCAGTCTAGTCCTCTCTTTGGGCCCCCTCGCTTTGGCTGAGACCGCTCCACAGGCCTGTGCCCGTACATCCACTGGTGCCTGGGTCAGGAAGCAGGGTCCTGACACCCTCTTGTCAGCCCACCTGCCCCTCTGTCCTCTGGCAGTCGGGAGTCCACACCCCTCCCACATTCCTCTTGCTTCACAGTGCGTGGTTTCTGGTCTGGCCTTGGCCCAGCAGGTCAGCCTTCTGGAGGCCAGCGCCATGTTGCCTCATCCAGTCAGCACTGACCCAGCAGCCCCGGGCCAGGGCTGGGGAGCCCACCAAACCCCCTTGTTGTGGAACAGTGAGCTGTGTGCTGACTGAGGGGTGGACATGGTGACGTGGGTTCTCTGAGGGAGGGTGACTAGCTCTGCCTGGCAGGGTGACAGGTGTCACTGAGGGTGACAGCTGAGCACAGGTTGAGCCTTCCAGCGTCTCCTGGTGGCCCCTCAGCAGCCTCCATCTTCAGGCCATTGCGCTCATGGAGCGGCATGTCTCCTCCCTTGGCTCCCGCTGCCCGGTGTACAGTGTCTCGGTCGCTGTTCTCCTCTCCACTGAACTCATGCCCCAGCGTGCCCACGCGCATTCCTCCCCTGTGCTCAAGCTAGTCTGCAGTCGCACGGCACCCATATGAGTCACCGTTCTTCAGCCGTTCTTCCCGGCGCAGGCGGCCGCTTCCCCGGTGCAGGCTCCTGCTTCCCTGCGCGGGCAGCCGCTTCCTGCACGACTTTTGTTCCAGCTCCCCAAGGCAGCTGTAATAACTGGTTTGATCCTTCTTGTGAATCCACTTATTCGCAACCTCTCCCGAGATAATTGCTCCCCCACGCTTGCCCTGGGCCTCACGCTTGGTGGCAGGAAGTCTGTGTTTGCCCGTTCCACCACCCCTTGTCCTGTGGTATTTCTCTTCTGCAGCTGGTCCAGATGAATTTAGCCTTCAGCTGGTACAGATACCCAACAATATTTTATACACTGAAGTTAGTAAATTATGTCATAGCCTTTGCAGATGTCAGGATTTTTTAAACTATTTTTAAATGCCTATGAACATTTTTGATTTGCCAGTCACTGCTTAGGGCCTAGTGACTAAAGATGCAGCTGTATCCAGGTATATAAATAAATCAGGAGGAGAGAACCCACTGGAGCCCAAGTGGCACAGTGGTTGAGAGCTACAGCTGCTAACCAAATGTCAGCAGTTCAAATCCACCACCTGCTCCTTGGAAACCCTATGGGGGAGTTCCACTCCATCCTACAGCGCCGCTATGAGTCAGAATCAACTCAGTGGCAACGGGTTTGTTTTTTTATTTTTTATTTTTATTTTTTTCAGAGAACCCACTAGGGTGCCAAGCGCCATAGAACTCCCGGCCATCCTTCAATGGCCAGTGTGGCCTAGGTTCGTAGGCACAGAATACTGCCCTGTATTCTGACACCACAAACAATGACAAGCTTTGTGTGGACATGAGGGGCAGACAGAAGCAGTCAAACTTGCTGAGCTTACTTATAGGAAACAAACTTGTGTTTGTTTTCTGCCTAAGAATAGTATTTGGCTTGTTCCTTTTTGTGAAAGAAAATGTTTAAGGTCCAGATGTTTCCAGCCTGAGCTTCTCGGTGGCAGTGTGCTTGTGGGCAGTACCATGCTGAGAAGGGTGGACAGGAAGCGGGCTCCAGTGGATAAGAAGCAGAACTCAGCACAATGGCCTTAGCCACAAACCGATGACATTCATTTTACACCGTCCGCAGTTTTGTGTTGCATTTGTGAGCTTGCTTTTGCTTACATGGATGAGACAGCACGTGCGTTTTTCTCTTTGGAGCATTCTGTTTCATGAAAATGCTCTTTTATTTTGGTATGGTAATTTTATTTCCCCTGCTTCAGTTTTTCTTTTTGCAAGCTGACCCTTACTGAGGTCTGCAGTGTTCCAGGGGTCACGCGGTTTGCGTTACATGCGTCCTTTGGGTTGATCATGTCAATAACTACACAAAGTTTGGTGTTATTACTCTCATTTCACACAGGAGGGAGCTGAAGCTTAGAAAGGTGAGCTAACCCGCATAGGCTTCGCAGCCCGTAAGTTGCAGGATATAGATTCAAACCCTAGTTGGGCTGACTCCTAGGTCCAGAAAGCATTGAGTGACCGCTCACATCCAGAGTGGACAGCATATAGAATAGCTCCTTACTTAGGTCACTTCTTTCTGCATGAATCTGTCATTCTGTTTATTTTATAAAAATTCTCCTGTTGCAGAAACCCTACCAAGTTTGGAGACTCATAGAGCTGACGTTTAGAAAACATGTCAGTTTTTCAGATGTCACCTAAGAAGTGTCAGATCTGAGATGGAGTGTCGAACATTGTCTATTCATAGACCGCCATCACAGGCAGAATTCATGGCCCATCCAGAAATAAAGCAAGTGCACTGTTAACATCCTGCAGGAATCAGATCAAAGGTGTCATAAAGATGGCCCTTCAATAATATGAAAAATCGATCATCTTAATCCAAAGATCTCTCGCAACTTAATGATTTCCCTGTTTTTCCTATTTATACATATCTTTTTTCACAACTCTCTATCTCAAAGAACAGGAAACCTTCGGAGCTGATTTTTGGTTAACCTCAAAGATCACATCTTATGATAGCAGTAGACATCCTTTAAAGACTGTTCACAATCCAAGATGCCAGCCAAGGTTCAGTTCGTGATTCTTTACAGTAGGCTATTTCGGGAAAGCCCAAAAAAGAATTTGGAAAATATAATTTAGTTTTATCCAGCTCTCATTAAAATAGCCAGTTTAAAGAAATTAGGCTCATACAAATCCGCAGTAATAGTGTTTTATGGGTGTCTTAGTCATCTAGTGCTGCTTTAACAGAAATACCACAAGTGGATGGCTTTAACAAAGAGAAGTTTATTCTGTCAGAGTCCAGTAGGCTACAAGTCTGAATTCAGGACATCAGCTCCAGAAGAAGGCCTTCTCTCTCTGTCGGCTCTGGAGAAAGGTCCTTGTGATGCACCAGTCTTCCCTTGGTCTGGGAGCATCTCTGCGCAGGAACCTCAGGTCCAAACGATGCGCTCTGCTCCCGGCACTGCTTTCTTGGTGGTGTGAGGTTCCCATGTTTCTCTGCTCGCTTCTCTCTTTTATGTCTCGAAAGAGATTGGATTAAGACACTATCTAATCTTGTAAACCTCATCAGTATAACCTCATCATAGTGATAGAGTTTACAACACATAGGGAAATCACATCAGATTACACAATCATGCAATACTAGGAATCATGACCCAGTCAAGCCAACAGACATTTTTGGGGGACACAATTCAATCCATGACAGTGGGAAAATGAACAGAAGTAAAAAATGAGGTGAGTTTACAATCAGACCTCCTGCTTTATAAACATGTTGCCCAAGAATAGGATCACACCCATTTGGAGGTCTTTGCTCAACCAAAAATGAGTCGATGTTTGAGGAAGGAACAACTAAAAATGAGAAGGAAAAGGAGAGGTCAGTGATTTTTGGGGATCACTGTAAAAAAAAAAAAAAAAAAAAAACCTGTTGCCTTCAAGTGGATTCCGACTCATAGTGACCCCATAGGACAGAGTAGAACTGCCCCGTAGAGTTTCCAAGGAGCGCCTGGTGGATTTGAACTGCAGACCTTTTGGTTAGCAGCTATAGCACTTAACCACTACACCAGTAGGGTTTCCGGGTTCACTATAGTTCTGTGGAATTTAGTTCCATCTTCCAAGCATTCTCCTCTTAACCGACTACTGTTGAGTTGATTCCAACTCATAGCGACCCCATAGGGTTTCCAAGGCTGTAAATCTCTACGGAAGCAGACTGCCACAACTTTCAAACTGCCAGCCTTTCAGTTAGCAGTCAATCGCTTTAACCACTGCGCCACCAGGGTTCCTTCATTCTCTTCTTAGTCATGTGTAACGCGCAGAGCCCGGCTTGCCTGCTTATCTGCAGGGTCGAATTCCCTCCTGTGGAGACATTAGACATTTTGAAGTTAACCAGATGGATCCTGACTAAGGTGTGTGAGAACCATTCTAGAATGCGTGGTGATTATCACCCTTCAATGCCTACTCCTCCCTGGAGTTTTTAAAAATAGCTCCGTCGACAGCCCTGAGCTGCTGTGGATGTCTGTGCAGTCCTTGAGCCCATACATGGAAGCCTGTCTCTTTGAAGACTGACCTCAAATGACTGGGTGGGCCCCCTCAAGTCCCCTTTAGAACTACTTGGAACCAGGCGCCACCGCCAGTGCTGGCGTTGGTCTGAACAGAATAACAAACCCCGGCTGGAGTGGGGGCAGATCAGCTGCCATTCTCTGCCTCCCACGGCTGACACTCCTACAGCCCATGCGCCCGCCTTTCCGTGCTCTGGTGGATTAACAGAAGTGTTTGTCATCAGAAACTCAGACGTTTAAAATGTGCTGATCCCTCCGCCCTTCTCCTTCCCCGCTTCCCCACTTCCTTCTCTTCCTCTTTCTCTACCTTCTTCCCTTGCCTATTCTCTTCTCAACCGTTTTTTTTTTCTCATTATAAAGAACGCAAGGTCTCAGGCTGCTTCAGCCTCCTTCCAAAAGTACCATTGCCAGCTGTGCCTCTCGATCTGGCCTGTATTTGGAGACACGTTGGACACACGGCGGCAGGAGTGAACGGATTTCAACCATTCACACTGTCCCCTGTGTTTACCAAGTGTTCTTTGAAAACTGTAGGGTACTGTCCTTGTCAGAGGAGCCCTGGTGGCTAACCAAAAGGTCAGCAGTTGGAATCCACCAGCTGCTCCTTGGAAACCCTGTGGGGCAGTTCTACTCTGTCCTGTAGGGTCGCTATGAGTCGGAATTGACCCGACAGCAACAGGGTTTTTCTTTTTGTTTGGTTTGGCCCAGTCAGAGGACTGCAGTCTTTACCCCCATTCCTATGCATTGTTGCTAACATCTGTGTGCTGTATTGTAGCCTTTTTTATGTGTGGGGAGAGGGCAAGTAAATGACCTTTCTAAAGCTTCCCGGTAAACTGGGAACAATCAGAAGTCAAACCTCAAATCAAAGTTTTCCAAACTGTTGTTCTATAGGACACAGTTCATTTTGAATGCCAGATTTTCAACCGCTGCAGTAAGATTTTTAATTCCTACCCACAGAAAGCAATTAGTTCTCCGGGGACAGGATGAGACAGTGGAATACTAGTGCCAGCTCCACAGCACTTAACTGGCCATGTGACCTTGAGTAAGTCGTATGAACTTCTGGGATCTGGTGTTAAATTAGATTTACGCAGCCCCTTCCAGATTCATTACTCCATGACTGTATAAATAAGAAGTCACCTTGTACCTTGATAAACTTCTTAAAGGCAGAGGCCCTGCATGGAGCCTGACCCTGGGTTATTAGGGCAGGAGGGGCGGCCCTGCATGGAGCCTGACCCTGTTTTATTAGGGCAGGCGGGGTGGCCCTGCAGAGGCAGCGCAGCAGGAGACCCTCAGAAACGGGCCACTGGAACTTCCTGGAAGTGGAGATTGAGGCTGAGAGCAGGTCATCTGAGGGTGGTGCTTCCAGTAGTGGCAGGCAGGTGGAGAGAGGAGGGAGCTGAGGCCTGGCATGAGATCTACCCACAAGGAGTGTCAGGGCACTGGGGCGGCCTGGCGGCCATGGGCGGTTCATTGTCCAGCAACCTCGGTCATCAGCCAGTGAACACCACGAGATCTAAGAAGAGGGAGTAAGTGCCAGGCAGTGGGTGGAGAGCTGTGGCGGGTGTGGAGCTCAGTCCAGGTCAGCTCTGCTCCTGGCCGCCAGGCAGTGTTTAGGGACAGGATACCAATCCTAGAGGCTGGATGGCAGTCAGTTCGTATCTGGTAGGCAGCAAAGGGGACTCGGGGAGCCCTGCAGGGGCTGGCAGCTGCTCCAGCCCGGGGCTCTGGGATGGGAGACTGAGCTTTGACTGCATTCCAAGGCAAGGACATTGCCACTCTTACCGCTTATTCATCACATCCTCAGGAATTCAGTTAAAGCCTGTAATTCTAATTGCAGGATTCCCAAACCTTGGGTTTCTCTAGCTATCTCAGAGAATCTTGTAAATATTTTAAGTTGTTTAACTTGAAAAGTAAGTAAATGAAATTTACTGGTGACAGACAGATTTAGAATTCTCTCTTCAAATCTGCACACTTTGCAATAGCCGGGCAGCACGATGTTGCTGATCTTTGTTTCTCTGTTAAAATGACCTTTGCATAGATGGAAAAGTGAACATTGTCCGGTCCAAGTATGCCAGCTTTTGCATTTATGCACTTATTTTAGTGTTCAAATATTAGTAAAGTGCTTTCGGCTGTGCCTTCAGCCGAGCTGTGGAATGTATCTGCTTACCGCCTTTATTTAATTCCTGCTCTTCCACAAGATTATAACAGAAGTCTGTTCTCTTTAATAGGATTTTCCGTCTCTACATAGTCATTGTCTTTCTGTAAGCACGGTTCTGTTTTTTTATCCTTTCTTATTTTAGTTATTTACTTGACTTCTCAATTACTCTCTAGAATTCAAGATGGACAAAGAGAACTTTTATAATGAACATTTCTTAATGTCCTAAAGTGGGAAATCAGTAGAAGAGTAGAAATGTTAAGGAAGGGTGTGACAAATGCAGACAGAGCCCTCCCAGCGGATTCACACACACACACACACACACACACACACACACACGCACGCACCCCGTGGGTAACAGTCCTGAGCCTGCTACCCCCACCGGCTGATCAGGGTGCTGGGGCTCCCCTCTCCCAGAGGGAGCATCTGCCACCCAGCATGGTCCCACCACTGATCCTATGCAGAAATGACTTTGGTGCCGCCTGCAGAGATCTTGGGGTGTCAGCTGTCCACAGGGAGGTTATGGGAATTCTCATCTCCTTATTTCCATGAAGATCAGCCTTTACATCGGCATCCAGTTTCATTTCCTGGTGCTCCCAGGCATCAGCCCCAGCCCTAGTGTAACTTTTCTCTGAGGACTCCTGGTTAACCACAGAACTAACATCTCTCCCACCAGACCCCTCACTTCCTACATAGACACCTGAATAGCTGTTCAGAGGCATGACTGAGCTGTAGCCAGAGGCCAAGGATCCCTAGAAGAACTTCATGCCTGGGTGGCCTTCCCACCCAATAGTTCTAAAGAAGCTTCTAACCAAATGGTTATGATCTAAAATTAATAGCTAGCCAAGTTCAGCTGTACTCAGTTATGATTCAGATCATTAAACTAAAGACATTTGTTGATTTTGTGTTTGTTGTTGATTTGTGATGTGGGAGACCCCTGTGTTACAAAGTAGAACCGCTCCAGAGGGTCTTCTTGGCTGGAATCTTTATGGAAGCAGATTACCAGGACTTTTTCTTCCGCAGTGCTGGTGGGTGGGTTCGAACCACCAACATTTCGGTTACCAGCCGAGTGCAAACTGTTTATGCCACCCAGGGACCTTTAGGCTATTTACGGACATTTGGACAGTTCTTACTGAGGGCTGGACTGGATGTTGTGGAAAGGGAATTCTCACCGGAGAGTTTCCGCAGGCCTTGAGGACCGTGTTTCTGTGTAGTTGCCGGTCAGTGTTACCATGCATGTGAAATGAACCCTTGTTTGTGCCTTCCCTGGTACAATTCTAGATGGCCTGTCCTCACCTGCCGTGTACCCTTTCAGGTACATGCCTACATCATCAGTTACCTGAAGAAAGAGATGCCGAGTGTATTTGGAAAGGAAAACAAGAAGAGAGAGCTTATCAGCAGGTTACCAGAAATCTACATTCAGCTGCAGCGAGAATACCAGATTTCTGCAGGGGACTTCCCCGAGGTCAAGACCATGCAGGTACTGGAGCCCATTACAATGTCAGGGGATGGGATGGGGGTAGAAATGCATGCCATGTTGTCCAGCTAGTTGCTGGGGACACATGACAGTTTCATGGTTTAAAATCAAGGAGAGTGGAACAAATCCATCCTCCTAATGGTGATCCATAATAATGCACTCCTGTGAATAAAACAGAAATTGCCTGCCTCCCAAACTTTTAAACAAAAGGGAACACATAATCAGAGGATGAATCAAATGTGTGTCTGGTTGCCTCCATGAACAACTCCCTCTTTTGCCATGAGACCAGAAAAACTTGATAGTGCCCAGCTACCATTACTGTACATTTTGATCAAAGATTATATAGACATATCTTGATAAAAAGGGGAGAAAATGTGGAACAGAATTTCTAATTCTTAATGGAATCCAGATTTTCCAGAGCCAGTGAAGCTGGATAAACACTCAGAATTATTTCCCTGAGATAATCTTTAAACTTTAAACCAAAACTATCCTCTGAAGTCTTCTTTGAACCAGAAAATAGCTTATCTTAACTAGTAAAGTACTTCTACTTTTGAGCAGTGTGCTCTTTTAAACAATTATTTATATGAGGTCAAATTGACAAAGCAACTGGAAAGGTTGGATGGGAAGCTCAGGGAGCAGTGAGTTTAAAGATAATGGTGTTGGAATAATTTGAAAAAGGTTTTGGAAAAGTGGCGTTAGGTGGTAGCACACCTTGAAGAATGTAATCAATGCCATTGAATTGTACGTGTAGAAATTGTTGAAATGGTGTATCTTCAGTTGCGTATACTTTCACCAAAATAAAAAACTTTTAAACAAAAGGGACTGCATAGCCAAGGGTAAATTAAACACATGTGAAAAAATCAGACAAGTAGCCCTCTTAGACTGTGTTCAAGGAGGCTGATTTGATGTTGAGGTGATGCCTGTCTTTTGGAAGCCCAGAACCTTACGGGAATCAGAGGAGGAGTGACCTTCAGGTCACCTCTGCCGTCCTCCTTGAGCTCGAGCCCTACCCTGGCAGCTCAGGCAGCATTGCTGCCGTAGGCTCAAGGGTTCAGTCAGGGGCTGTGGGGCTCTGTGCACGCAGCTGGACTTCATCCTGTGCTCATGAGGATTTTCACTTAAAGGCCACACTGGGCAGCCTTGAGCCTGATTTTAGGGCCTCCCTAGACATGTCTGGGCAACCCCTGCTGAGCCTGGCTGGGTGCTGCCTTCAGCCATCTGGCCTGGCCAGTGCGTCCACCGCCCTGCAGTCTCATTAGGATGACCACATCGACGCCGACCAGGTCATCCGAGCAAGGCCAGGCCATCTGGCCGCTGTGTAGACGGTCCTCACAGAGCCAGACTGGGCACGTTCTTATCCAGCGCCGGGATGCATCTGCAGTGGAGACCACAGCCCTCTCTGCAAAGCAGGGGATGCCAACTCACACGCCTGCAGCCACCGGCAGAGAACGTGAATGAGGGAGGCAGGCCAGGTGAACGAGATACCCCCTTTCCAACTCCCTGTGGTTTCCCACGTTTGATAGAGACGTGGGCTCCGAGAAATCAGCCTCTTCAAGGAGGAAAACAGCTCTGCAAGTGCAGTGAGAATTTTGGGGGCCCACAGGAGGGGGCAGGTTAGTGGGTACACACCCCACCTCACTGGGGAACCCCACCAGCCCAGAGCATTGCTGCCCTGTGGAACACAGGCCTGGGTTGTTCCAGACAAGCCAGAAATTCGGTTTGTGTGTAAAAGCCACCTGGTTTTTCAATTTTGGCTCAAATTTTCAAAAAATGCCAAGTAGGCCAAACAAAGCCTACCTGCATGTTGGCTTCAGCCTGGAGACCAGCCATCACTGCCTTCTCCTGAGCTTCGGAGAGAGACAGCGCTAGAGTCCGAGCGTGCCTTGGGGCGGGGCCTGTGTGCGCCTGCCACCTCAGGAGGGGGGGATGAGGGGACAAAGGGGGGTCACCGAAGGGAAGTGTGAAAGAGGAGAAGGAAGGATCAGACGTGGCGGGAAGGGTCAGTGGGTGGCAGGAGGGGAGGCTTTGATCCCGAGCTGTTTATTATTTAATGTAAACTTCATAGAATGTAAAGCTTTATTTACTGTGAAGTTTACACATGAACATAGCGGTGGCTTACTCTTAACGTTTGGGTGATAGCTGGGCCAAGTGGGTCATCTGGTACATGTGACCTGGTCAGAAATGGTCTGGCTGTCTTAAAAACAGATACAGAAGTATCTTTTCTTTTCCAGAAGTGAAATAGGTATCTCTGCACTCAGAGAATGAGTTGGTATATTCACGGGGACAGCTGATCTGAGGCCTAACCGTGGTCTCTTGGAGCAGCCTCCTGCAGTGGGCTGCCCCTGCACACCCTTGGGGTTAGGCCCTCACCCCACAACCAAATTTTAGGACAACGACTTCCTTCATCCTTCAGAGATTTGTGAAGGGAGATGTTGACTTAAAATTGATTTATTCGTGAAGGTTTCTTGACTTAAAAGTTATGAAGAAATACACATCCCATGTTCTGGCCTAACAGGAGGGTTCTCCATGGCTCATTACCCTAATCAAGTGACGCAAGAAGATGCTGCTCCCGAGACCCTGAGGCACCCTGAGCCCATCAGGGGGCCCCTGCAAGCCTCCCTGGCAGGGCCTCCCCTGCCCGTCCCCAGCTGAACTCCAGTGACATAGGGAGCAGACTCTGGGACCACAGCAGCTCATGACAAAGCTCAGCCAGCCCTGGCCAGGTCAGAAGACACCCAGGCCAAAGAAGGAAACCATGGTGCCCCCTCACCTAAGGTCTCAGGAGCCGCCAAGGCCCATTTAGTTGGAGGACACAGGAAGGGCCCGAACCTTTGTTGAGAACCGCTGGGGGTCAGGCCCCAGGCAGGTGCCTTTGCACCTCTGATGAACATCTGAGTGTCCCAGGACTGGGCCTGAGGAGTCCCACCTAACAGTGCCCCATTCATTTGCCTTCCTTTAATCACTCATCCAAGAACTATTAATTAAGGCTACTGTGGCTAGGCACTGTTCTAGCTCCCTAGAATAAATAAATAAACGAACACAATGGCCAAAAACAAGGATCCCTGCCTTTGAGGAGCTTACACTCTGGTTACAGGCTTTGCCTCTCTGTCACTGGTGATGAAGCTTTTGGCAGCAAAGCCCGTTGTTGGGACACATGCTCCTTGTTACGTGTTGTGCGACGATGTAATTCATTAACTCCAGGTGCTCCTGTTTAGTGTCTCGCCCTCCTAAGGCCATAACTCCACGAGGTCTGTCTGGTTCATGCCAGATCCCCAGCATCGAGGCTGTGGCAGGTGCTCCATAAATACGTGCTGAATGAATTACTAAGCTAGTGCATATTCATAGCAGAGCAGGCTCTAGGGTGGTGAGTGTCTTACCCTGGGAGTCAGAAGCAGATCTCTTCCAGTCACAGTTTACTGCGAGAGGCCAGCCTGGCCCTGATCACACGGCCCAGTGCCCTCGGAGAATCCACCAGGGGTTCCCCAGGCAGAGCCAGCTATGGCCCTAGGTCTGGCTCACGGCCATCTGATACGTCAGCCTCGATGCTCAGGAACCTCTGGGTGGGCCGCGGGTGTGAGTTAGTGTCTGCTGTGAGTCTAACATCCTCCGTAGCCTCATAATGACTGTGTCTGGGGCAATGGCAGGGGACGTGAGCTACGAGATGAGGGGGTTATGATCCATGCATACATCGAGGTCGCAGAATTGGAGCATAGAGAGCTTGAGAAGAGAGTCTCTATTCTCCCTGTTCTCTCCTGGACCGAGCCCGTCAGTGGTGACCCTTAGGTAAGGCCGGGAGAGGAAGCTGTAGCAAGAGTTGAATGTGTCTTTTGAAGGCTTTCGCCCAGTGCTGGGGGAGGCCCTACAGTCGGGTCTGACAGCTTTGGGGAGGGAACCTGATTCACCACAGGGATGTGAAGTACTGCAGAATGAGGAGAGTGCTAGAAGCTCCACCCTTCTAGCTGACTTGGTGTCCCTCCTACCCGGAGGAGAATTTGGGCCCCACAGCTGGTGAGTTGGCGGCAGGGGGCAGCAGAGCCGCCTCATCTGCTCTGAGCCTTCAGGTTGGTTTGAAAACTGCTTCTGGGGAGTGAGTGGGCAAGGATTAGACTGCTGAGCCTGGGCTGCAGACCCACCTTTGCCTCTTGGGAGGGAGCAATTCCAGGAGGCCTGGCAGGCTGGCTTTGGTGGATAAAATTGTTAGTGAGTAAATCTTTAAATCCCCCAGTGTGTGTATTCATCCCAATAAAGAGACTTCTGTTCTGGGTCCACCCTAGTCAAGGCTGGTATTATGGATTGAATTATGTCCCCCAAGAATATGTGTTGGAATCCTCACCCTCTATACCTGTGGAGGTAATCCTGTTTGGGAACAGGGTTTTCTTTGTTATCTTAAAGAGGCTGTACCAGTGTGGGGTGTGTCCTAACCCTACTTTTGAGATATAAAAAGAGCAGATTAGACAGCGAGAAGCAAGCACAAATGGGGGGTGGCAAATGCCACATGCAAATCGCCAAGGAACTGAGGACCAGAGCTGGAAGAGACAAGGACCTTCTCCCAGAGCCAGCAGAGAGGGCCTTCCCCTAGAGGCAGTGCCCTGAATTCAGACTTCTAGCCTCCTGTATTATGAGGAAATACATTTTTGTGTAACAAAGCCACCCACTTGTGGTATTTCTGATGTAGCAGCACTAAGAAACTGAGCCAGCAGGAATGGCGATGGTGTAACTTGTATCCCACACTCCCTGATCAGGCCTGCGTGCTTGGGGACCCCAGGGATAAGAGTGTAGGGTCTATTTCCTCTGTACCCTCAGGGGCAGGAATAGCTGCTGCTGCTCCCTGTCCACTTCTGCAAATATGTGGCCATTTCCCCTTGCTGGTTTTCCAGAGATTTGCCATGGAATCCACGTTCCCTGCAGGCTGGCGGAAAGTTTGGGCGCCCGCCCTCTGTCCTCCGCCTGGCGAGACACTGGGGCTCTGTGTGCTCCAAGCTGAGGCCCATTCATGAGCAAAT